ATATGTTGAATTAAATGTTTAAAAAGCCACATATTTTTTTGTAATATATATATATATATATATTTTTTATATATATATTACAAAATAAAAAACGAAATGTCTTTGTTTGGCTTTTTATTTCTTCTGCACTATGTATGGTGTTATAATTCCCAAAATTTTTTCCATAAAATTTCACATGCTCATACGTCTAAAATATTTTGTTTGATTTCTGGCTTTTAATGTTATACTCCAATCAGCATTTGTGATCTCCCAGAAGCATCATTTTCATCAATTGTTGTTCACAAACAAGGGTTGGTAATTTTTAAAATAGTTTCAATACAAGATTTGCATAATTCTTTAACATAAGTTGTGCAAAGATTGGTTGCAGATAAAACTTTTGCTCTGTATACTTTAGTAAAAAATCTATAATAATTATGTCACAAAAGCATTATACAAATAATGATCAAACTGCAAATATAATGTAGAACTACTTTTAGAACTGTTTCCTTTATCAGTTTATGTGTTGAAGATGTTCCAGACTTAACGCCATTCCTTTCGAAAAGTTATTTATTTTGCCCTTTGCAGTTTTTGTTTAACTGTAAATAAGTAAGTCAGATAAATCAAATCAATATTAACATAACTAAAATTATTATAAAAAAAATTATCCTACAAGTAAAATTGCATAGAGATTATTATTAGACGAAAATATTTTATTATACTTTGTACTAGAGTTTGTTGAATATTGCAATAAAAAAGTAAAAAATGCAGTAAAAAAGAATACTCTTATGCTAAGACTTTCCCTATTTTTTAAGTATAAATATGCAAATATATGCATTTAAACAGTTTATATATGCAAATATATACACTTATAAATTTAAAAAATGCATACTTGAATTATAACAATATATATATATATATATATATATATATATATATATATATATATATATATATATATATATATATATATATATATATATATATATATATATATATATATATATATATATATATAATATGTGTGTATGTGAGTGTGTCTGTACAATAATACACACACATAATGTGTATTATTGTACACACACCCACACATACATATATGTGTGTATGTATGTATGTATATATATATATATATATATATATATATATATATATATATATATATATATATATATATATATATATATTAGTAAATAGTCATAACAGTTAAAACAAATTTTTATATTGAAAAAAAGTTGAAGCAATCACCAGAAAAATATCATAAATATAGAACATATTTATCTGAAGTTTAAAAAAAAATTATTGAAATGCTACAGTCAGATTTTATAAAAATTGATTTCAAATAAATAAACAAATCTATGAGTTACATTAAAAAGTTGTTAATTGAAAATAAAGTTTAAGTACTCTAAGATATTTTTTATCCTTTTTTTATATATATTTTTGTGAAAATTTTGTAATAATATACTGATCTACATAAAAATAAGGCTACAACATTGAGTTTTTAGAGATCAAATAACAAATAACACAGTTGCCATATAAAATATACTCTGTAGTTAAGAACCGTAGCCATTTTAAAAGTTCAAAAATTTTTCGCATTTTCTCATGCATGCGTACCTAAACATAGCGCTTGTAAACAACTGTGAAATTCACTAAATGTTAGATTTGAAAAATTAAAGTTAAATTTGTTGATGAAGTAAATTCATTAACGGAGTTATTATCTACAAAAGAATCCTAAATCAGTTATTTTACTGTGTACGTGTTTTATAGATGCCTCTTTATACTTTTTATCTTATTTTTTTATTTATGTTTTCTAATTTCTTATTAATAATATTATAACTTAACCTTGTTTACATTCAAATTCAATAAATTATTTAAATTTTTTTTTTTACCTCATTCGATTCGTTAGGACTCCTATTGGAACCCAACAGAGTTTCCAAGTTCATTTTTCAAAGGCTCTTGGGAAGGATTTTGGTGGGCTTTTGTTTCAATGACAACAGTAGGATATGGTGATCGTGCTCCTAAATCATTTGTTGCAAGAGTCTTTGCGTTTTTCTGGGTTTTAGTAGGATTGGTGATTATTTCCATCTTTACCGCAACTGTTACTACATCATTGACAACCCTATCACTTAGCAACGATGTTACTCTTTATGGTACAAATGTTGTGGCAATGAACAATAGTCAAGAACAAAGATATGGCATACAAAGCAATGCCGTTGTAAAACGTAAGTTTTTGAAATTTACAAATATTTTATAGCTCAAAACTTAAACTGTTCAAAAATATAATTGCTGTAAACAATTTAAAGTATTTGTTAAAGTTGAAAATGTTTAATTCTTAGCCGTGAGTAATATAGAAGAATTTGTAGATCAAATAATCAATCCAGGAAGTGATTCAAATGCAATTAGTGGCGGTTTAATTGACAGTTATGTTGCAGGGAATTACAATAAAAAACTAAATAAAACCTTTGTTTATGTGTCCGAAGTATTCGATTATCAATATGCTTACGGATTTGTAATTACAAACAAACTTAACGGACCACCTATGGAACAATGCCTACGAAAAACCCTTAGCTTAATGGATTCACAAATTACTAATACAATACAACAAATGATGACTGCAATACCGGTAAGAATACATAATGTTATTTTTAAGGTCATGCAATACTGAATAAACCGGATTCAAAATTTTGAATTTATAAGGTTTTAAAATCTATTTCTAAAAGGCATTTACTTATTTATAAAGTTATTTACATATATATATATATATATATATATATATATATATATATATATATATATATATATATATATATATATATATATATATATATTAACTCGGAACTTAGCGAACAAATCAAAAATATTTATACTTAGCGAACCGATCAAAGGCATTATAATCAAACCAAAAAATAAAGATAAGAGGTTGTCCTTAAATTACGTCATGCAATTTTCGACCCTCTCCACTCTCCCTCTCGTCACAACCTCGTAACACTTTAGTGACAAGTCCTGTATGAGTTGTTATCAAAACTATCAATCTCTCCTCCCTCCTCACCAAAAACGTGACGTAATTTATTGAGGACCTTTAATAAATGTTTGTTAATAAATGATTTATTTTACCGATTTAATAATTTATTTTATTGATAATTTTTTTTATTAAAAATTATCTTATGGATTGTCAGTTTTTATGTAATTTCACTCAACGCAACTAACTAGCTAACCAAAAAGCTTACTTAAATGTTTAAATAAGCCAATAAGTTTCCTACATTTCTTTAAAATTATCAAGGCATAAGGAGTTGATAGCTCATGCTCTTTTATTATAACATCTTTAACAATTAATTTTAATATATGACAAAAACAAGGTATGCAGGCTTGGTCGGGAAGCGGGAGCGATCGCTCTCGAATACTGACCACGGAAATTATATTTAGTTGCGTAAAACTGGCCAGGTTTTTTAGTCGTTTTGAGAACATTTAAGTTTATGTACAAAACAAAGAATTTTTGTTTTACGGACATACATGGAAACATAAAAAACTTGAATGTTCTCAAAACATCTTTGTGCGAAAGAATAAAAAGAATATTTGAGAACAAACAAACTAATTCTATTGGTTCAAAAAATACTCTGATTAAGCGAAATAAAGTTCTACAGTATTCTGTTAAAATGTTTTAGAATTTGTATTATTCACGATTTGTCACATTTTGAGATTTCTAGCATTGTTTTAAAAATATAAATTATTTGTTTACGAAAATAAATGTTTTAAATATATATTAATTAAATTGTTAAAATTTTAAAAGTTTATTATAAATCATAGATATTATTAGTATATTCTTATTTTTTATTTTAAAAGAGATTGTATTCTTTAAGTAAATGTAACTTGGTGTATTTTATCGTAATGTATCTTTTAAAGCAATTTTTATGATTTAAACAAAGATTTACAAAAATAATTGTGTTTAATTTTTATTTATAAAATAAATTAAGCTTAGGTAAAACTAAAACTTGCAAACTTAGTTAAATAAAGAATATTTGTTTGCCTTTTAAACAATCGTAAGTTGTTACTTTATATAAAAAACATCGCTTAATTTTATAAAAAAAATTATAAAAAAGCGATGTTTTGAAAATATTTGTTCTAAATGTAATTTATTTAGCTTTAAATTTTTTCGGGTTTAAAGATATTTTATTTGCCTACTTTTTTTTTTTTGTAATTGTCTCTCATCGATCCAATTAATCTTGGTCGCTTTTTTTTTTTTGAGTTTTTAAAATGTTCTTAAAACGACTAAAAAATCTGGCCAGCTTTTCGCAACTAAATATTATTTACGTGGTCAGCAATCGAGAGCGATCGCTCCCGCTTCCCGACCAAGCCTGGGTATGCGCATTTTATTAATTAGATCTTGAAGACAATGTTTGATACTACCAGCAGTACACTACTTGTTAAAAGCGTTCTATCATTTATTTTCCAATCATTTATTTATTAACTCGATTTATTCCTTATAAATACTCTAGTATGTTCTTTTGGGCTGTGCTTCAATACAATGCGAATCGATTTCAAACACAAAATTTGATCAACAAAATGTATGGCAAAATTTAGTTTCGTTTAAAAGACTACATTTAAATGATTCAAATTTAAGCGGCATTATTTTATATGAAAACCTTTGTTTAGTCGGCAATTCGTACTTTTTATAAAAAAAAGCTAGCATTTTGGTAAAACACATATTAAAAACATTCCTTTAAATCTCTTTATTTAGGCGAATTTGAACAATATAATTGAGAATAAATATACAAATGCAGCTTTGATAAATACATGACCAGTAGGGGTATGACAATTTTGCAACCTTATATCCCCATACTAAATTTAGTGAAGTTTTTGTTCAAAAATCAAAAAAATAACAAGCATTTTTACTATATATCAAAAAAGTTCACCCCCCAATTAAAAAATATTTATAAAAAAATTAAAAAAATGTAGTTTTGCAACACATCTTCCACTACTTTACAGAAACCAGTAAACATGTATAATTAAAATTTGTCTACTGTATATTTGACAATAAGTATTTAATATTTTGTTTTTCTATGCTATGGCATAATGGCATTAAGTCCTGCATCACTTTCGCAGCACGTTCTGCACATATATTTGACCGTTGTGTTGGTATTAGTGTTGGCTCAGTGGACCAAAACCTTTTCAATGATTTCAATGCTTTAAGATGCTCATTGCATGCTTCTAATAGATTAACAAAATCTGCAGGATTGAAGTAGTGACCCCCAAGCCATAATCACCCTATGAACCACAGATGAAGTCACATGCTGCTTGAGTAGATTCTGATTTTTGGTATTCTGGTATTAAAATGTAAGCAAGTAGAATAAAAATGGCTCTCGAATTCCATCTTGCATTGCTTATAGCAGGAAGTGATTTAAAATTAACTTTTGGAAAGTTACCTGTGCTTTTAAACTTTCTATAACATGCTATTAAGTGATTCAGGAAATTTATGTCATCTCTCCAGCGAGTTTGCTTCACTTTCGTCAAAGGATTTCCAATATTATAAAATAATAACTTCAAGTTCTCGTAATCTTGCTGCAACTTTGTCACAAAAGGGTAATGGAGATATGGTGACATTGTTGATCCTTCAAAATGATCATTCATGACATGTTTTAAAAGAGTATCTAGAATATGGTGTTGGCATCCAATAAAAACAGGCTTTTCTAGTCCAATGGTTTTAAAATGTTTCTGTAACCGTGTAACTACACCATTTTTTAATCCTGCATTTGTAGATGTTGTGTCAGATACGATCATTTTTATGGTTGGCCACAGCTCATATTCATCTAGCACATGCTTTATCCCATTATATATTGTTTCACTTTTTCCATTCATCAGCTCCAGAACAGCAAGCCGAACCTCTCTATTTTCATTTTTCAAAACAACTAATTGATATTCCATTTTCTTTATGTTCTTTAAGTGCAAAGACCACTTTTCATTTTTTAGGTTTTCCATATAATTTACTTTCAACTTTTCCCCTTCTTTCATAACACCTTTGTAGATACCACTTTGCATTGGAGTATAAATAGAAATACCACTTTCTGTGAGAGAGTTTTACATACTTGATGTGCTTTTTTGGTACTAATCTTTGCAGAAATCACTAAATTTACTGCTGAATTTGTTTTTTGTTTTTTAAATGATGATGGACCTTCAGCTTCAATATCACTCCTGGAACACTGCTCTTCGCTTTCTGAAGGATCTCCTTCACTAGCTGATTCAACAAAATCTTGTCCTTGACTGATGGATATTTGTTTTTTTATCATCACTAATTTTCTTGGATGAATACCTTCAGCATCTTTAATTGTGGTACAATATCCAGCTCTTCCATTTGTTGACTTTTGAAGACAATAAAATTCTTTATCTTCCTGACACAACCATTCACCTTTCTCATCGGTTATGTCAAACAATCGTGTAAAATTCTGTCAAGTTTTTTCAATACATTTTCTATTTTTCTTTCTGCTGCCAATTTCCCTTGTTGAATAGGAATATTTAGCTTTCTCCATAGCAATTTAGTTTCTTTAGCCACAATTGTAATTCTCTCCTTTCTACTTTTCACATTTGATGACATACTTTTAAATCGATCAATGATACGCTGTTCTGTTGGCAACTTATTCATTTCACTAATACTTTTAACAACAGTAGTACATCTTCTGGAAGTTTTAGCTTTTTCAAACCTTACTAAATTTGATTCCCAAACTTTCTTATTCTTGTTTGAAGCAACACTATTTTTGGACATAATGTTCAAAACACAAGATAACAGTTTGACAAACTTAAAGAAGACAATTCCGGTTATATACAAAAAACCAATTATAAAATGCTGAAGCACTTCCACACGGTCCAACAGGGTTGAAATCGAAAATTGCAGTTATTAGAAATTGCAGTTATCTCGTAAAGAAATCTGTAGAATTTATAATGTTTGTAATCACAGTGGTATATTAAGTAAGATTGTGTTTTTTCTCTATTAAGTAATTTATAACTCACTAAAAAGATAAGAAAAATTATTTTCAGCTTGAGGGGTGATCTTTTTTGACAATTTACATAAAAAAATAGATTTTTTATTTATAAATATAATTTCTCCACTCATGGTTACATGGGGAATAAAAGAATCTAAATTTTTTTTTTAGTCATACCCCTAATGACCAGTTGTTGTGTTGGCAATTTTACTGTATCTTTGTTGCATTTTTACTGCTCTTTACTTATTTTGCTCTACGATCTTTGTTCTACGTTCTACAATTTTCATTTAATTTTCAACAATCTTTGTTCTACCTTCTACAATTTTCATTCAATTTTCAACGATCTTTGTTCTACCTTCTACAATTTTCAACGATCTTTGTTCTACCTTCTACAATTTTCAACGATTTTTGTTCTACCTTCTACAATTTTCAACGATTTTTGTTCTACCTTCTACAATTTTCAACGATTTTTGTTCTACCTTCTACAATTTTCAACGATCTTTATTCTACCTTCTACAATTTTCATTCAATTTTCAACGATCTTTGTTCTACCTTCTACAATTTTCATTCAATTTTCAACGATCTTTGTTCTACCTTCTACAATTTTCATTCAATTTTCAACAATCTTTGTTCTACCTTCTATAATTTTCATTCAATTTTCAACGATCTTTGTTCCACCTTGTACAATTTTCATTCAATTTTCAACGATCTTTGTTCTACCTTCTATAATTTTCATTCAATTTTCAACGATCTTTGTTCTACCTTCTACAATTTTCATTCAATTTTCAACGATCTTTGTTCTACCTTCTACAATTTTCATTCAATTTTCAATGATTTTTGTTCTATAAAGTCTTTGTTCTACAGTCTAAGTTTTCGGACGTTATTCTGATTAACCTGGTTCGCTTGTAGTTCTACTGTCCAAGTTTTCGGCTGTTCTTCTGATTAGCCTGGTTCGCTTGTAGTTTTCTCGCATTAAAAACATTGTTAAACTATGATGCTTTTTTCTTCAAAAAAAATTTCTTTAATAAATAAAAACTCTTTTTTTTTTTTATACATTTTTACGCAAATTTATATTGTAATCTACAATTATTGACATAAAAAACCGCTCAAACATCTTTTCGTAAACAATATATATTTTTTATATTTACATGTACCAGCTATTATATATTAAATAATTATGACATTATGCTCATTTTTATTTTTTAACAATATTAGTATTTCTGATAAAACAACAATAATAAGTTAGAAAACCTTTTTTACAATTTTTGACATTATTTCTTTTTTACTATATGCGAGACAATTCTTTTTTTTTTTTTTAGCGACTTTTTTAATATATTCAACACTATTCTAAAGTTTATTTTTCAACACCATTCCTGTCTCTCAATAAAATTAGCTGCTAATTAAAAACTATTTTAACCGCAAACTGTATAGTTGTCACCAAATGTCCCAGCAGTTTCCATAACAGAATTACAAAAAAGTTCATTCACTAACAAAAACAAATTTAAATAAACCCACTGTACAGTGCTGGATTATGAGAAGGGGGGAGGGAGTTAGGTGTTTTTGAGGGCCCCGATTCAAAATAAAAGATTATTTCAGAAAATAAGAAACTCTGATATTAAATTCTTTGATTAATGATATGGAAAGAAGCTTCCTGCTTTAAAATAGTCTCAGGCCTAATTCAATCCTATTGAAATTATTAATAATAAGAGAGCAGAGGGGCCTTGACCCTCTACTTGCCATAATTTTTATATAAAATATAAATCTAGCAAAAAAGATAGAAATATATATAAATTTTTTGATTTACATCCCTCTCCCTTCCATCTTCCCTGAATAATAATGATAATATATGATAACTTTATTCACCAAAATATATTTGATTTTTTTAATAACTTTATGCTAAATTTATATATCTTTTATCTTTATTTTTTTCAAAGATTGATTTTAGTGAACCTAAATCCAGCCTCTTGGTGATTTGTAGGTAGAAGACAAATTTTATAGAAAATTATATAAAGCTAAATACTTTTACAGATCTTTATATAATTAAGTTACTGCATAGTATTTATAAAGTTAGTTAATATTGTCTTTAAGTTACTATCTTCGTCTCGATGAGAAGTCTGAAACTGCCTTATGCAAGTTCTTCCCATGGTCTTTGTGACTTACATTTCTTTTGTATCTTGTCCAAGTTGGTTTAAACTTAGAGTGAATAGCTTCTCCAGTTTGTTCTGCAAATCTGGCTAGACCACATTGATTTTCTTCACAAAAAGGAACAATATGCACTAACATGATGTGGACCTTCCATGTTATGGGTAAGGTGTAGTTATAGCCTTTTGAAAACTCTATTAGGTAATTATATGATTCTTTCAATCTAGCGATAGAATGCTTGACATTGGGACTAAGAAAATCACAAAAACAGTCATCCGCAACACACTTTAAATCTTTGAAACATGTTATAATAGGTATTAGCTGTTGACAATCATTTAGGAATGCATCTTCTAGATCTTGAAGATTATCCAATATCTTGTTACAGTTTACTCCATCAAACCCTCCTCCATGATAACCATGTCTGAGAATGTATTTTCCAGACAGCCACTGATTAAAGTTTGGCCAGAGAGTAAAAACTAGGTCGCTGAGAACATTAATAAAACCCATAAATATATGTAACGATGATGGAGGAATTTTGTTTATTACTTGGATCTTCATCAAGATGAATAAGCCTTTTTCGTATAACATTTTTGTACAGCTGTGCTGTTTCTTTTTTTTTTGTACAGCTGTGCTGTTTCTTTTTTTTTTGTACAGCTGTGCTGTTTCTTTTTTTTTTATACAGCTGTGCTGTTTCTTTTTTTTCTCCTGCTGCTTGATACTCTGAAAGATGAAGATCAAGGCTTCCAAATGTTCGTAAAGTTCCTGCATTTATAGTCTTCACCATGGCCAGATAAACCCATAATTATGTTAGCCAACTTTAAATCCCATGCAATATGAAAACCCAGGCTGTCTAGCTGGATAATATCTAAAATTTGTTTTATATTCTGATATGTTTCTGGAACATCTTCAGCAATAGCAATAAACTGTATACGTTGCACACCAGACCCAATATATTTGTCATATCCCCGACGTTTACTTCTGTTTTTTATTTTATTACTGTTAACTTTAAGTTCATCTGCATCAAAGATGTTAACACATATTTTGAATGAACCTCCTCCATCCACCTCCATCAATTGAAACTCGTACAATGGTATTATAAGGATTTAACCCTCTCTCACTTAAAATGTTTATAACAAAATCTGAAGAATCTTTTACAAAAACCAGGTTCCTATCAACCTTTTTATCTCCAACTTCAAATTGCATGGACTGAACACTGTAATAATTTTTCACAGTTAATGCAAGATTTGACAGTAACTTCGTCACTTCTGACTGGACAACTCTCTTTCCTGTGGCCTTGTTAAGAGTAGAAATCAGTTTTCTAGTTCCTCTGTTTGAAAGATCAAGATTTAGTCAAAGTTGCTTGAATTTCAAAAAAGATTTGCTGGATTTGATTTCTGTCTCCTTTGTTCTCAGGACGACCAACTCTTATTATCTGCAGTTTTCCGCAGGTGGCTAAATAAAATAGATCTCCTGAATTTACTTTTTCTTTGTTCATTTTTTCCTTGATTATTGAAGAAACCACCTGCTCTGCACTGTGCATACCTTGTTCCAATGCCAATGATGTAAGGTTTTTTACAGCAGTTGATTTGCAGCATTTGTGCTCTAAGCCACGACCTAAATAAATATTGTTTACGAAAATTAGACTATACCAATATCATGTAATATTTTAAAATCTTCTGTTTATATTACCTATTATTGACAGATATTTAGAGCAGATCTTTAATGTGTTTTCTAGAGAGGTAGAAGAGCTCTCATCAATCTCAATTGTAACAATGTCAGACTTGCGCTTCTTAGAAATCCAATCAATCTATATAATAATTATTCAGAATTGACATTTGAGCTTTTTATGACAGAGTTGACAGCTTTATAATTTAGCAGATACTTTAAAATTCTATTTTAACAGATGCAATTAATTTAAACCTAACCTTTTCTATCTTCTGTGTCCATCTGGTTGGTGGTTTCTCTCTTTTTGCAAGCATGTACAAATTAGTTTTGCAATTTCCACATATAGAAGAAGGATAGGTTGCAATTTCTTTCATGTATCCAGAGTATGTATACATACGTCTGCACCAGTTTTTCAATAGTATCTTGGACTGCAATAAGACTCTTTTTTGTTTTTGTTTCCCAGCAAACACAACAATAACTATTTATATTCATTTTTTATTTACTAAAATTATAACATTGCCATGAGTATTATAATACAATTTTTTATGATTTAGAAAATTTATTAAATTATACTTTAAATTATTGGCGCATTTCGCGCCAATAAACAAAAATAAACAAAAAATTTAAATATACTTCTAGATTTTATGCTAGATTTATATTTTATATAAAAAAATTTAGCAAGTAGAGGGTCAAGGCCCCTCTGCCCTCATATTGATAATATTTTCAATAGGATTTTGGACCCCCCTCCCCAGTCTAAAAATGCACCCTTGGACTTTTAAAATGTTTAATTTTTAATATTCTAATAAATATCTCATTGATGGCATATTTTTTTTTCAAGTTGGATAAAGTTCAACCTGAGGGTCGATTTATGACACAGTGTAAACTTAAAAGGCATACCAACCCTAGTATCAAACAACATTTGTACAATACTTATCTCAATATTAGTTAAACAATAAAAATATTGCTCTGACATAAAATAGCCACATTTTGATATATATAACCAATATTCAGTTATATTTTCTCAATTTTAACAAACAACCGTTATATATTCTCAGATTTAACAAACAACAGTTATATTTTCTCAAGAGTAGCAAACAACAGTTATATTTTTTCAAACAAAATGAGGGGGTGGAATTAAATTTAACAAACTAAATATGTGTCAAAGTAGTCATTATAAGTTGGAGCTTCTTTTAGGTCCAAATATCATTAACATTAGAAAAAACTTGTTCTACGCATAGTCACAAGAAAGATATTATTCTTATAAAGAAGTCTTACAAGAAATGAATTCAAGAAAGAATTCTCACAAGAAATAAATTATTCTTATGACTATGCTCTATGGAAGCATTTGTGCCTGGCATGCCGTAGTATAAAGCTACAGAAAGCATTTGTGCCTGGCATGCTGTAGTATAAAGCTACAGAAAGCATTTGTACCTGGCATGCTGTAGAATAAAGCTACAGAGAATAAATAAAGTACTATAGTAAAAATTAATAAAAGCTATTTTAATATAGGTTGATATGCAAAAATATAAATAAATAAATAAATAATTGGATTTTAAAAAAAAAGGTCAAAACCTAAACAAATTATTTTTAGAAACCAGATCAATCAGCCGCAGAACAAAAATCATCAAGTTTGTTTGATCCAGGAAGTGACATATTTCGTCAAGCTGTTTTTATATGCTTGGGTATAATATTCTTTTTAACTGTATGTGGCGTTGCATGGGAGTATTGCTACTGGAGACCAAAGCAAAAGATAAACGAAGTTACAGATAAAGGTTTAAAACATAATTATTAAACTTTATTAAAAGTACATAAATTAAATAGAAGTAATTAAAATAAAAAATATTTAAGAGATCTAAATAAATGATTATCTAAGATCTCAAAGACTATGGCCATATGATCTGAGGCTTCAGATTAAGACCATATTATTTTGAGGGCTCAGAATACGACATTTTAATTTAGATATCTTTAATTTTAATCAAATTATATACTATAAAAATATGTATATTAAATAGAATTAATTCAAATAAAAAACAGTTGAAAAACTTAAAATTAACAATTTGTGTGACTAATCCCCTCTTAGACCCGATTCGATTTCTGGAGCCCGTGTTAAAAATGAGTTAAAGTTGTGATTTTAATATTTTGTTATTATAATGAAGTTTCACCGTAGTAACCACTGCCAATGGCTTTTAAATAAAATAAAAATAAAGCTATGATCCATTGGCTGTCTTTTAAGTTAATTATAAACATGAATAAATTTTGTTTACTGAATTTGAAGTTTATATGAAAATCTTTTAAGGTTCAAAATTAAAGATCACGCAATGTTTATTATCCATATCTATATAAGTGAAGTTATTCGCAAAACTGATGCCAAAAAAAAGAGAAAAAATTTGATTTTAATTTTTCCGCGAGTCTATAGTTCTCCAAACATTGTACATTTACCCAAAAAGGTTTTTTCTTGAAAAGCTCATTGTTATTTAATTTTAATTAATTCTCTTATTTTATTTTATTTTAATTTTTTTCTGCTTAGGGTCACATTTAGAACGTAAAGTTTCAAAACATAAAAAAGAAAAACGTAAAAAAAAAACGCCAGATGGATAAGTGATTGCGATTAATTAATTGCAATCACGTAACTGTTGTAATTTATATTTAAGTATAGATTACATCAGTTACGAAAAAAACATAAAGGTTAGTTAATTATAATCGAAAGAAATTAAATTAACATTTAACAAAATTTATACAACGGGGTTATCCATTAATTACGTCAACAAAATAGGGGGAGGGGGTCTGAACTTTTTTGACTATTGTTGACACGGCGGAGGGAGAGAGGTCAATCAAAGTTGACGTCAACAATTTTTTTTTTTTTTTTTGAGTTTTATTGCTTAAATAACGGAAAATTAGGCTCAGTTTGTAGCGTAGTTTCTTTGTATAGGAGGGGTCTCTGGAAATTTGACAAATTGTTGACAAGGTGAAGAGGGAGGTAAAAGTTTTAAAAAATTTGTTGACGTAATTAATGGACAGCCCCAAAGTAATTTGAAAGACAATTTTTACAAGAAAAAAAATTTTGATTTACTTGAGAAACGTTTAAAATTTCATGAATTTACTCTACAGTTTGAAAAATTTTGATAATTTTTAAAGTATAAAACATAATGAAGAAAATAAAATCCAAAAAAAAGTACCCCTAAGTTCACCCTAGTTCACTCTTCATCCTAAAAAAACTTTATAGTTAACTTTAACATCATAATTGTTGACAACTTTATATATTGTGAAATTGTATATATTTATTATTGTTTATATTACGGCTGTATATTTAGAAGAAGAGCAATTTGACACACCTCACTCCACTTTTGAAGAATTAGTTGCGTCGCAATGCCAAGAGCTTGAAGATGCTATGGTTACAGAAGTTATGACGTTTTATAAAGCATTCAATAAAAAGTTAGATGAAATTCGTCAAAAAAATCTTCGAGAAAACTATAGTGAAAAAGACCCAAAATGGCTTGAAGGATCAAACATTGGTCTAAAGACTTTTTAACAACACGCAATTAGTTTGAACTCAACAAATCATTTTATGTAGTAAATATTTTGAATGTAGCATCATCATTTAAATCATTCAAATCATTTAATCATTGCAAATCGTTTGAGCGTAAGAAATTGTTGTAACTATATGAATATTTGCAGAGATTGAATCGCAGTTAAATTTTTAAAAACTGCCTTTTGAAATTATTATTAACACATGCGTCTATATTATTATGTTATTATATTTATAATTATATATATAATTGATTATAATTATTATCACTTCTTAAGTTCGTATTATAAAAAAACAGCATCAACATGCGCTTTATGATATAACGTCACATAGGTTTACAAGGATTTGTAAATCTATGTTACGCTACTCTTTTAATTTTTTTTAGTTTTAAAATATCTTGTAAAACACACAAACATAAATACACACGCGCGGACACACTTGCATTTAAAAGTCTTTGTAATATATTTATTATATAATTTTTTTTAAGAGAAGTAGACAAAGGCCATTGTTTATGCTTATTGTTTGTTTAAATAGTTAAGTAAAAGAGTAGTAGAAATTTTGTTAGCAGTTACCGTGGTAACAAATAGTGGTACCCAATGGTACATAATTTTGTTAGCAATTACTGTGACACCTAATAGACAAATAAATAATTTGTAATATGAGCATTTGCTGTAATAATTTTTTTTATTATTGTATTAATAAAAAGATATTTTTATTGAATGGTTCATATTAATGCGGGTACTATTTTGTGATAAAAATAGTAAGTTTGCGTATGTTTAATGGTTGCAAACAACATTATACAGTGACGTGTTTGGCGGAAACCTATTAGAGAAGAATAAAATTTTTTCGCTTAAAGATATGGGATAAAAGTAATGTACATCGGGGTAGGATGGAGATTGTTCCCAAGTTTTTTCACCATGTTTTTCTCTCTAGTTTAAGTAAGCAATGATAAACAGAAAGTGTTCAAATTCTTTCCTCTAAACATTAATCAACTTAAAAGTAGAATTTCCACAACAGATATGATCAAAACATCAATATTTTTGTTGATAAAAATAGAATAAAATTTTGATTTGAACAAAGTATACGTTTTGTTTGTAAATTTAGGTCACTTCACTTGTATATAACATTTTTAATGGATTAAATAAAATTCTTGCTTGCTGATCTCCGTGGTGACAGATGAACAAAGCTTCTTGAAGCTTAAATTATTAAAAAATATTTGCCGTCTTTATTAATTAATAAAACATTTTAGCGCAATAAACTTTGAATGATTTGGATGTTTTAAGAATTGAAAAAGAGCGCTTCAAAGACATTGATAGAAATGCTCAAGTTGGAGACTTTGCTAATTCAAAAGAATACAAGCATTCGGACTTTTAAACTAATAAGTAAAAAGTGATTAGTAAAAAATGATAAGTAAAAAGTGATAAGTAAAAATAATTAGTAAAAAGTGATTAGTAAAAAATGGTAAGTAAAAAGTTATAAATAAAAAGGTTACAGACCGGTAGCAGATTCTACCGAAATCCTAAACCCGGGTTACCAACAATACATGAATACATGATTACATGAAGAATACATGAACAATACATGAATTTTTTAAATATATCAAAACTTAATTCGCTTCAAATATTAATATTTATGTATAAAATTAAGAATAACTTGCTGCCAAAAGTGTTTTTTGATATTTTTACATCAGCATTTTCACAAAAATATAATCTTCGGTCAAATAACAACCATAACTATCACTTGAGCAAAATAAAATCCCAAGGGTCGAAATTCTCAATTATTAGCTAAGGCCCGTCTTTATGGAATCAATTAAAAATAACAATATAAAAAATTTGAAAAGTACTTTCTCTTTTAAACGACAAATAAAACTGCATCTCCTTAATTTCTGACATATATGTAAGTATGTTTGTATATGTGTGTGTGTGTTTTTGGGTATATGTATATATGAGTATATATGTATGTATGAGTTTTTCTTTATTCTTCACGTAGTATTTAACAGATAAAATATTCTATTGTAAATTTTCTAAAGCCATGTGAGCTTTAAATGATATTGTAAAGAGGCTCTATGAAAAGATTGTGATGACACCAATCATCCTTATCTTCTTTGAGCCCCTGTATTTTTTATATATATTCTTTGTATAATGTAAAAGTTTTATTGTAATTTTTTTATTTTATATTTATATAAACAGCAAAATATATTTAAAACAGAAAAACAAAAAAAAAACAAGAAATTTAAAAAGACAACTTTTTTTTTTCCTTTTTTGACAATTTTTTTTTTTTTTTGCTTACATTAGTTTGATGTTGCACAATTGCATAATGACAATAGTAATAAAAAAATAATAATAACAACTACCTTTAACAAATTTACAATGGTAAACAATATAAACAAGGTAGCTGAAAGAAGATCGCAAAGATCTTGTCATCAGAACCTTAAATAAGCCGTTTTTTAAAATGCATCAATAAACTTCTTACAATGATGAAAGAAGATATATTTTATTAATTTTATAGATAAGTTTGAATAATTACTTTTTTATATTGCCTCGTATTGATATGTGGTGTCGTCGAAACAATTTAGCCAGAGTAAATAATACAAGGTTTTTCTTTTCGTTAGATGGAGTAAACAATTTTCTTTGTTGATCCTAGAGAAAAATATTTTATCAAAGATGCCTCTAATAACCAAATACAACCTTTAATAAGAGACAACACAAAGTAACTAATTTAACTAGTGAAGATAGTTTTAGTTAAATACAACAGTGAGATAACAAACACATAGTTAATGTTTGTGGATTTGTAACTATGTGATAGACACCATTAAACTATCAATTTAATGGTAAAGTAGATGTGGAATAATCAAACTAAAATAAGTTAACACATTAAGGGTGGAATGCAAAAAGCAAACTTAAGTCAAGTTCGACTTGAACTTTACTTTGTAACCAATAGCGGCAGAGTATTTTTTAAGGGGAAAACCCATACTCTGTCGCTATTGGTTACAATGTAAAGTTCAAGTCAAGTTCGCTTCTTGCATTCCACCCTAAATATCAGTTAATACATTAAATATCATACATGCTAAAACAATAAACGTATAAATAACTTAAATAAAAATTTTTGTTTAAGATCACCATGATATAAGACGTGATACAAAAATAATGTAAAATGCGGGGAAAATGATTTTTTTGAAAAATAAAGTTTTCTCTACGGTCCAAATCAAAGTACTCTTAAAACCATAACTTAATCAAGATTACTAAAAATAAAGTTTTCTCTACGGTCTGACGTAAAATAAAGTTTTCTCTACGGTCTGACGTAAAATAAAGTTTTCTCTACGGTCTGACGTAACGCAACATTTATATACCATACCATAGACTATCTATTAAAAAAATATTATTTAATCAAGGATGAGTTCAAACAAAGATAGTTTAGCTAGGAAAGAACAAAAATCATTCAAAATGATGTAACAGGCTGTATGCGCAAATGCGACGTAATCCATAAGTCTGTGCTTTTCGTGTCGTTCAGTAACGTAAAAGTTTTATCTCTGAACTAAACTAAGCCAGCCCAGTCATATTCTAAAAAATTATGATGGTTATAACACCTATGAATGTATTTATAACTGACTTCTGATTCTAAAAACTGGCCCAGGCGTACTCTAGAAATGAATATCTTCTTCCGCGGCAACAGTAATTGTGTTTGGAAAATAGTCGTGCTTGATGGCCGTAACACTAACCCTTGCGGGCTAGTTGCGGATATTATTTAAAAACTGTTATTTAAAAAATTTATTGACAACCCTTTAAGTTTTGAAAAACGCCGAGAGAAATGTCACGCAGTTATCATTTATGTTAGTGATACTTTTTTATGATACAAAAATGTGGATGGGCTTACGCTTCGCTACAAACATAATGGACAACCAGAAAATAACACTCAGAAAAAAAACTTAAACCAAATAAAGGTAATGGAGTTGATGATGTAAGCAGTAATGCAGTAATTAAAGCAATGCCTTATTTAAAAATCGACAGAATGGACAAAGCAGAGTTAAACATCAACGTGAATACAAACAAAGTTATAGAACTTACAAAGGAATTAAAAGATATTAAGCATAGTCTAAACTACAACGAAGAACTAGTTGACTAAAAAATTCATAACAACAATAAACAACTAGATAAAAAATTCGAACATACTAATATAGAAAAATTTATAAAGGAAAAGCAACGAAACCTGGAAGATAGATCAAGAAGAAATAACCTACGAATCGATGGAATTGATGAAAATGGGCAAGAATCATGGGGGGACTTTGAAGAAAAAGTTCACACATTCTTTTGGCAAAAACTTTGACTGAAAAATATCGACATTGAACGTGCCCACCGCACTGGATTGAAGAAAGATGGACGACTGAGGACAATAGTACTTAACCTGCAGAAATACAAAGACAAAGTAAAAATCGTAAAAGAATCTCATCGACTAAAAGGCACGAGTTTTTTTTATTAACGAAGACTTTTCTCGTGAGACCGTTGCTATTCGGAAAAGATTATTTGCGAAAGTAAAACAAAGGCGTTCAAATGGTGAAAATGTAACGGTAAGATATGACAAAATTATTTATCTTAATAATAATTTGTAAAATCAATATTAACAAATAACTAGTACTTCTAAAAAGAAATCCTTTTTTTTTTTTTTTTAATTTCTATTTATTATCATGGCTAGGACTAATAACTTTGAATCCCTTTTTTTTAATTTATATGAAACAGATCTCTTCTCTTCAGAAGAATACCTAGACCCTGAAAATAATTTTTATCGCAGTATTTTATCCGATTGTTCGTATCATTTTCCAAACCAACTAGAAGGGTTTCTTTTTAAGAATGCTCGCGAAAAAAGTAATAATCAAATTGTAATTCTCCACCTCAATATAAAAAGTTTGAAAATACAATTTTCAAAAACTTTTAAATCTATTAGAAGAAACTAAACACATTTTTAATATAATTTGTTTAACTGAAACTTGGATAACAGAAGATGAAATAATTAGTAATTTTGATATTCCTCATTTTAATACTATTTCTATAGAGAGAAAAACAAATAAGCGGCGGTGGAGTATTAATTTATGTCAAGGCCTTCTTTATTATTCTAATAAAGAAGGCCTTGATTTATGTTAACGAAAATTTTGAGTATTGTTTTAGGAATGATTTGAGCGTTTCTGTCTGTGATAAAGAAATTGTAACTATTGAAATTACAAACAATCAAACTAAAAACATTTTATTAAGCTGTTGTTATCGGCCATCTAACGGCGTGAGCAAAAACCTAAGCATGTTCTTGCAACAAATTATTAAAAAAGGAAATAATGATAAAAAAGAAAACTATATAGTCGGAGACTTAAATATGAACTATTTTCTCTATAATGACGACCAAAAAATTTTTATGATGCAATTTTTGAAACAGGGTCAGTTATTTTAATAAATCGACCCACTAGAGTAACATTAAACACAGCAACTCTTATAGATAATATTATAACCAGGGGCGGATCTAGCTTTTTTTTTGAGGGGTGCTGGCAAATATGTGCTGTGCTGCGACGATGATGGGTTTTTCCATTAACCCCTACCCCCCGCGCTTTTCGGGGGGCGGTTGAGTGTATGAAAGGGGGTGGTCATAAAAAAGGTTTTTATAAAGTACGGGGGACGGGGTCACCCAAAAGTGTACAAGTTTGTTTAAGAGGTGTTCAAGGCAACGAATACGTATGTAGT